TTATTTTCCGGATAGCATAATGAACTGTACTCAGGAGCTGGTTGACTTTGTATTTAATAACAAAGATTATCATCACAAAGATATTTACTTTATTATACATTTATTAATAATTTTGTTGCTGTAGAGGAACGATCTAGCTCCAAAACGTTTCAAATTCTCAATCACAAAGCTGTAAGATCTGTTACAGCAAGTACACAAAATAAAAATCAAGGAGGTTAGAATAGAAGGAGGGAGGATTCGTACTTTCCTCCACTATCGGGGAATGAAACTCCGCCGAACAAGCGGCGTCCATGTTTGTGACTTCAAAACATTGCATTACGGCAGTGACATGTACGTGTTTCTAAGCTGTTCCGTGCATTTATTTTCCAGTAAAAATATGTTAAATTTATAATGAAATCCCTCGCTATTGTTGAATTTTGTTTTAAAGTAAGAAAGATGATATCCATAATTTACTATGTACAGCAAATTATTAAGAATAGTTCGAAATCTAAATGCATGCGCATAACATTAAAGCCTTAAAAAATTATGTTTCTGCATATTCACGGATTTGCTTAGGTTAGAAATAAAATCTTAATAAAATAAAACGGATTTATGGGAATTCATTGATTTCATTTAGCGCATTTCATATTTATTAATCTCAAAGAAAACTGTTTTAATTAAGTTGAATTACAGAAATACACCTATATAGTTTTTGGATACATCTTTCACATGTTCAATTGTGTAAATATTTTACTTAATTTATCACTATACTGCCCAGAAATTTGTAAGTTTATGCAAAAATTTTAACAACAGAACCAGTTGCTCTAACTTAAAAAATGAATAATAATTAATATATAAAGAAAGCATTGCTTTATTTAACACCCTTTACAATTAATAAAAATAGAACAATTGCTTTTATCTTACTTTTCATGAAAGTTATAAAACGAATTAACTAAAACGTTCAAATTATACAATTTAAGTCCTACCATATAGCATTGTATCTTAGAAACGAAGATACCAGCTATAAAACAGAAACATTAAAATGTATTTAATATTTTGATTATAGTTCTATTAAATAACCTATTTTAAGTCCTTTTTTCACATCTGGAAAGAAAACCACATGACATTGTGATATTTTTTTTATATAGTTGTCATATTACATAAAAAAGAAATTGATACTTACGTGTGAAAAATAATGCCCGGAATTTTTTTCGAGAATCTATTTGTGCATCCATATGCAATACAAGCTGACATACTTCAAAAAGAAAGGAAAAAAATGTTGCAATGACAGATTTCCTTGCACAAGTCACGGTGATAACAGGAAGATGGCCGCCAAGCTTCACCGTTTGAGCTGAACCTTCCCTCCTTCTATTCTAACCTCCTTGATAAAAATACTCAATTCAAATTACGTAGGTCGAGAGTATAACGCGCTAGCAGCGCCTCCTGTCGGCAACTCTTAATCACTACTGAACATACTCCCGACCTTGAAACCTCACGGGTTTCAAAATATTACAATTAGTATACACTGTTTTAAAGCACAATATAATAACAAACAATTGTAAGCAATAGCAATACAATGGTTAAATTTTAAAATACAACATTAAATCATAAATGCAATATAAGCACTGGAAAGAAACACATTACAATACACAATACATATATCTACTCAGGAGCTGGTTGACTTTGTATTTAATAACAAAGATTATCATCACAAAGATATTTACTTTATTATGCATTTATTAATCATTTCATAGTTGTCGAGGAGCAATCTAGCCCCTAAACGTTTCAAATTCTCAATCACAAAGCTGTAAGATCTATTACAGCAAGTCACAGAACAAAGAATACTCAATTATGATTACGTGCAGGTCGAGAGTATAACGCGCTAGCAGCGCCTCCTGTCGGCAACTTCTAAGTCACTACTGAAGCATACTCCCGACCTTGAAACCTTATGCGTTTCAAAACAATATTACAATTAGTATACATTGTTTTAAAGCACAATATAACAACGAACAATTGTAAGCAATAGCAATACAATGGTTAAATTTTAATATACAACATTAAATCATAAATGCAATATAAGCACTGGAAAGAAACACGTTACAATACACAATACATATATCTAATTACAATTCACAGGAAGAACACAAATGTCTCTCACATTTCTTTTTAACATTTTACCACCTGGTAATACTATGTTAATCACTCAAACTTTTTTATCTTTTTCAAAAATTATTTCTGCAATTCTACCTGTTAACCATTTTGTACTGGGCATATGCTCATCCTTGACTAATACAAGAGAACCCACCTTAACATCATCTTTAGCAAACATCCATTTACTACGTTGTTGAAGGTTATTTAAATAGTCTCTCTTCCATAACTTCCAAATTTGTTGACTATATTTCGTTATTTTATGCCACTTTGAAAGCCTATTTTCTGGTATCTCAATAAGTTGGGGTTCAGTTATTGAAGTTAAAGGCCTCCCTATAAGAAAATGTCCGGGGGACAAGGTTTCAAAATTATCAAACTCGGATGATAGGGAGTAAGGGGTCTAGAATTTAATACACTTTCAATTTCTAGAATTACAGTGAGAAATTCTTCAAGAAACAGATGAGCATTGCCAATAATTCGTTTCAAATGAAACTTAAGATTTCACCCCGGCTTCCCAAAGGCTGCCAAAGTTTGGTGATTTAGGAGGGATAAACCTCCACTCAATGTTTCACTTACAGGTATTTAGTCAGTGTTTCATCTGGGTGTTTAACCAATTTATGCAATGTCTGAGCTCAATGCTTGCACCCACTAATTCTTTGCATTGTCACTGAATAATTTTGCACATTACCCCTGCGACTAAAAATTCGTTTCAAACAAGCTATAAGGCGTCTGAGTAAGATCAAGACAAATCTAATGGATGGCTTGGTGCTTAAGCATACAAATATGCACACATACACTTTGTTCAGTTTTCCCTTACGCTGAGTTTTAAATTTAATGTGGAATGGTCCACAAAAATCAGTTCCAACATTACTAAATGGGTAAGAAGGTGTTACTCGTTCTTTGGGCAGATCAACCCATTATCTGACTCTCAAAAACAGGTTTGTTTAATTTTAAAACAAGTTATACATTGAAAAACAACTTTACGACAAACATTTCTGCCATTTAAGACCCAAAATTTACGTCGAACATGATACAATAATGCATTTGAACCAACATGCAAATACTTTAAATGATAATATCTCACAATTATTAAAGTTAATGGATGCTTATCTGAGCAGAACAATTGGATTTTTTCTCATATGTACTGAGGTCAGAATGTTTCAGTCTACCTCCAACCCTTAGAACATTGTCTTTATCTAAATAACAGTTTAAAGATTTTACCTTTGCTGTTGCTGGGCACTGAGGCACTTATCTCAAGATGTTTTATTTCATCTACAAACTCACCTTGTTGGATTGATCTAAATAAATAGAGTTCCGCTCTTCTCAACTCGCTAAATGTAAGGTGACCTGTAAGCTTTTCATTTCTAACATTATTGATAAATCTAAATACATAGCACATAACATGAACAATAGTTAAATAATTATTACTCGAGGAAAGAATATCATCAACTATAGAACTATGATTTAAAACAGTAAAGGCAATAGGAGAATGATCATTAGAGTCATCAATTTTCTTTAGTTCATCAGAAAAGTCATCTAATGAAATTAGAATGTCATTATTGTCTACCGGAACATCAGTCTTTTCTCTCAAAAATTGGGGTCCATGCCACCAAATGTCACTGTTCAATAAAATGTCAGCATTGACTCCCCTGCTGAGGAGATCAGCTGGATTTTGCTTCCCAGGGCAGTGTGCCCAGGCACTGGTATCACTTAAACTCTGTATTTCGTTAACTCTATTGGCAACAAATGATTTCCATCGTTTCGTAGATCCTTTAATCCAATAGAGAGTTTTTTGAATCCGTCCAAAAGAACACTAAGGAGGGGCTTTTTTAATCCACTGTTTTCTTGACTTTACTCGCTAGTCGGGCGGCAAGCAAAGCACCGAGTAATTCTAGTCTCGGAAGAGTGATTTTCCTTAGTGGCGTCACTCGACTCTTGTTAACCAATAAATTCACTTCGATGTTATTATCCTTCACAACTCTTGCATAAATAGCAGCACCATAAGCTTTTTTGACTAGCATCACAGAAGCAGTGCAGTTCTAAGATATCGGATTGACCACTTGTATAGTTAAATTGAGCACGTTTCTAGGAACTCGTAACTCTGAAAGATCAGGAAACCTCGGAGCACCACTGAAGCCATATTTTTTGTAGATCTACAGGTATTTCTTCATCCTCAAGAAATTTTCTTCATCCATAAGACTTGTAGAATGAACTTTGCATCGAATAGTAAACAGCGAAAGCAACCCAAGCGGATCAAAAATCTTTCCAATTGTACGTAGCAGGAATCTTTTGGTTACTTTCGTTTTTAGACAGACTGTCCACTAGGCTCTGCTTTCCCAATATTATAATCTTCAGCAGGATTCCACACAGTCCCAAACTTTTACAGTTTTGACTTGTGGCTGTGTATCGAAACCTTCACGTGTCCAAAACTGCGTCAATGTATTATCATTTGTAGTCCATTTTCGTAGCACCATGGCTCATAATTGATGTAGCTTGAGTAGAGATCTCAAAAGCATCCAACACATTATCAGCTCCAGAAATAAAATCATCCACATATAAACAGCGCTCTAAGCATTCTGTTGTAGTCGTGAATTCTTCAGAGTGCTTTCTCATGTGAGTTTTCAAAGTAGCAGTCAAAACGAATGGACTGGTCGTAACACCAAAAAGAACACGATTAAATCTGTAAACTTGAATTTGCCATTTTCTTCCCATAGAAAACGAAACTGCATCTCTGTCCTTTTCGGCTAATAAAATTTGTAGGAACGCTTTCTCTATGTCTGAAGTAAAGGCGACTTTGTTTAATCTGAAATTAACAAGAATGTCGAATATGTTCGAATTCAGGCTTGGATCTGACCACAGGCAATCATTTAGACTTAAATGCTTAAAGTTATGACTGGACTTGCATCAAATACTATTCTTATTTTTGTAGTTGCACTTTTCTCTATAAAAACTAGTTGATGTGGCAAATAGAACACAGGCTTATCAACAGGTTCCTTAGGACATCTAACTTTCTCTATATTATTCTTATTTTCATAGTCCGTTAAAGTTTCAATATACTGCAAATGAAGATTTGTATCTTTTTGAAGTCTACGCATAAGTAAATTAAGTCGCTTTTTTGTAACGATGAAGTTATTATTAAGCTCTCCCCAATCTCTTTTCCATGGTAATTGAACCTCATGCCGGTTATTCTTTAAAACGAACAGTTTTTTTTCAAATGTTTCTAAGGATTGATATATCTCATTTTCATTGGGATCTATCTCATTTCTCATTTTCACTGGGATCTATCTCATTTCTCATTTTCACTGATCTATCTCATTTTCACTCACACTTCTTTAATTCCTATAGACTCAAGTTGCCAAATTTTTTAAATTTCATTTTCTATATCACTATAATTATTAATTAAGCCACAGTGAACTGCTTGTGTATTTTCAGTCTCTGAACCTAAAATACTGCCAGTGGCTAAAAAGCCAAAAACAGAATTTTGAAATCTTAGCTCTGAATTGGGTACTTCAACTTGACCGAATTTTAAGATCTGATAAAACATCTCTGCGCCTAATAATGCATCAATTTTTCCTCTTTTATAAAAGTTTGGATCAGCAAATTTAATGTTTTGAGGAAAATGTTCAGTCGGAACTTTTATATTATTTATTGGTATGGAGTCCGAGATTTTAGGCAAGCACAAAAATTCTAAACTCTTTTCAATGTCAATACCGTTTGAAATAGAAGCACATAATTTAGAATTAATATTTATTCCTCGTGTTATTTAATCCAGAAACCGCAACAAATATTTTTCTCTTTTAATCCCTAACGATATTAGCACATTCAATCGTTAAGAATGACGTCATCGAACCTACATTCATACAAAGCGCGAACTGATTTTAGTTCACCATAACAATCTCTTGATTAAAATATTCGCAGTACAAAGTAAAAACATTTTTGGTCTGACGCATTCCGTTTACAGCTGTGCCGACGAAAATACTTTCTTTATTGGTAGAAGAAGGAGTCACATAAACAAATTTTTCAGCATTCGGATTGAAGACTGACTGTCGTCTTCTCCCCTTCCCTACTTTCCGGCTTTGAAATATGAGCACTTTCGGATTTATTTTCTTTTTTCATTTTCGAAATGTAACAGCGTTGAATGCGTTCGTGAGCATTTTTGACATCGATAATTAGACGAACACTTTTCGAACAAAATGGTTTTTCAAACAATTAAAACAAAGCTTAATTCGGTATTTTCCGTTTTGCCGGCGCAAGAGATAAAGTCTCCAATAATGGTACAACCGATGCCAAACGGAAAATTCTCGCTGGAACGGAATATTCCTTTTACGCCTCATTTTCAAAACAAGTTGCAGCTTTTTCTTATCATATTGATTGTTCTTTCAATAGGTGCATATAATTACATAGCATTTTTATAATTGTTCAGTTTTATGTCTAAGGTTATTTTCGGTAATTAAGTCAATCAGGATGCAATCACAGCGCTTACCCGAAGCCGAAAATATAGAAAAGGTAAAGTCAAGGGTTAAATTCATCAATTCTAATGAGAATGCATTAGCGAAGTAAAGCACTGCAGCTTTACATAATTTCTGAGTAAGCTATCGTACGAATTGAATATTTCTTGCATTTAATTTCTGTTCCAAATTAAGATTTAACTTGAATTAATGTAGATAATTACTGAGAGCATAGATTTTTGTAGAGTAGTTTACGTGAATGAGATCGCTTGGGGTCATGTGATATGAACCGGTGAATCAGGATGTTGAACCATGAAAGTAGATTCTTAATGTCTTTTTAAAAATTTATTGTCTTTATTTATTGGCTTTTTATAAAATTTTAAGCGATATTAAAATGTTTATGCCTTCAAAAAAAGAATTCTTAGAACTAACATTTTTTTAAAAATATTTTTATGTGTATAATGTATGTTGTCGCCAATAAAGTCTGCTTGGCGAGATTTGCGCCGGCCAAACGGAAAAGTACCCTTATTTCTTTTCACGAATTCACACCTGTCATTGACAGAAAGATTTATAAATTCTGGACATATAATGAATGGAATCCTTCACCACGGCACTTTATGCATTTCAAATTTATGTTTTTTGTATTAGAAGTGGATATCATACTCTTAAGTTTATGTGCGCTTGGCTTTCTAAAAACGAAAGTAATTGTTCAATCGTACCAAATTCTTCCGAGTTTTTTTATTCCTTTTCCCACCAGTATTGAGTCGCTTTATCAAACTTATCCACTATTAAATATACTATCATTATTTCCGATAAGTTTTCTACTTTGTAGTTTAAAATATTTAAAGTTCGAATACATTCGTTCGTTACATCAATTAAATTTAGAATAGAACTAGATGTCTCGCCATTACTCGGCTAATTCAAAAGCTTTTTTATTACAGCATTTAGAAGCTCACGTTTATTCGAATTTGTATCCGAAATAGAAATAGACTGTATTACTCTCAGAGCTTCGTCCTTACAACTAGCTTTTAAATATTGCAATCTCATTGCATTACTCGAAATACATTTGTTTTCTATTACACTAGCTTTAAACATATCTTTAAACATTATCCAATTCTCTATTTTACCATTGAGCGTCGGTAACTTAAACCCAAAACACATTTGAATATTATTACTCGGCCCAGTAAAACAAATGTTCAGAATTCATCTCATTTTTTACTACTGCTAATTTACGTTTATCATCAATAGCAACTCATCAACATATCATCCTGTCTTCTTCATCCTCAACATATTTATCCAATTCTTCGGGTTTACATCTTCGAAAATTGAATAAAATACGATTTTAAGTTCGTTAGAAATTTCATTAGTTTTGGTTTCAAATAGCTGCAACGCAAATGAATCTGAAACATCTAATGACGAAACAAATTTATCTTTATGCTGCGTCAGTGAACTTTTTAACACTCTTTTTCTTTTAACACTCTTTCTCTTCAAATTCTCAATCACAAAGCTGTAAGATCTGTTACAGCAAGTACACAAAATAAAAAGAATACTCAATTCAAATTACGTAGGTCGAGAGTATAACGCGCTAGCAGCGCCTCCTGTCGGCAACTCTTAATCACTACTGAGCACCTAATACTTATTATTAATAGTTCACTGCTGATGGCATATTATAATTTTTACATTAATAACTGAGTAAATAAAATAACAAATAGTGATAGTGGTACGAAAGTTTCATATAAGCAGACAAGAACTCTCTTTTTAAAGCAATTCGGACCTGATGATTTGTTACTATTTGTATATGCAGTCTAGAAATCCCCGAATTTAGAAATGCAGTGCCTACAGTTCAAAGTAGGATTTTAAAATAATATTCTTTTTTCTTACAAATTTTGCAATCAAAATCGCAATTGTCTGCATCACAGCTAAAATACAACAGCTCATTATTTTCAGACATCTTCTTGTTTGGTAATGATGTAATAAAATACAGATATATGGAAACTGACCCTGTGAAACATGATGTGTGTTCTCAAATTATAAGGGGAAAAAAACTTCGAATTTGAATTCACATCTTAGCTTAACAGTCATCAGTACTTATTAGGGAATCTCAGCTATCGGGTGATCAAAAAGCATTTTTATTTGTTTAAATAGCCATACTTTAAATTTGCTTTCACTTTTGCTTCCAGCATTCATCCTATTATTTTTCAACTAAAGTCAAAAGTCGTTAATCCGGACTCGTCGGGACTTCGGCGATTCCGGATTATAGATCATCAGTTTAAATCTCGTAAGATGGCATGCAGAAATTCTAAACTTAAAAATATGAAACCGTAATTTATGAAATAAAGAACAATTATGATCTAGGGGCGTAACATAGATTTGTAAATGAGCAACTTGTTATCTATAGATACAACGCTGTTTCGAGCAATTAAGGGGAAGAGTGAAGCTTTACTAGCTCGAAACTTCTTGATAATATTTGTAATGTGTGGGTTCCATGTAAGAGATTTAGTGAGGATCACCCCAAGATAAGGGACCTGCTTGATCCAGGGGATGCTTTCTCCATACATCTGCAGGCAGACTGGAAATTTCTTCTTTGTTGTAAACAATATAGCATATGTTTTCTCAACATTAACCTTAATTCTCCACTTGACAAGCCAAGCCTCTAATGCCTGGATGTGTTCTTGTAAGTGTTGTATAGCTGAACCAACAAATGCGCTTTGTGTAAGGATCGCAGTGTCGTCTGCATACATTGCGAGTGTCGTGTTGGGTGTAGTGGGTATGTCGTTCACATAAATGTTGAATAGAGTGGGCCCAAAAGGGACCCTTGTGGTACGCCAGCCCTTATAGGGCGGCTGGTGGATAATGTGCCAGAAACGTGAACGACAAACTGTCTACCTGTTAGGTAGGATTTGATCGTGTTAGTGATGTAGCCTGGTAACCCCAGGTTGTGTAACTTGTATGTGAGGGCATCTAGCCACACACGGTCGAAGGCCTTAGCAATGTCTAGAAACAGACCTCCAGTCACTCTGCTTCTTTGTAAGCCATCACTGATCATCTCCACAACTCTATAAAGCTGGTGGGTGGTTGAGTGCTTCTGACGAAAACCGAATTGGTATGGAATGATGACCTTATGCTCCTCCAGATATTTATTCAATCTGCTCAGTATTATTGCCTCCATTAGTTTACTGACAGAGCTCAGGAGGCTGATGGGACGATAGGACTCAGGTGCAGTGGCTGGTTCGTGAGGTTTCAGTATTGGGGTAATTTGAGCAGTTTTCCAACATGCCGGAAAGTGTTGCCATTGTAAAATGCAGTTAGCCAGCTTGGTGAAATAACATATGGTCTTTGGTGGAAAAATCTTGATCATCTGATTGAAAACACCATTCAACCGAGGGCTCTTTTTCCTTCTCAGCCTTTTGATGTAACTGCAGACCTCCGACGGCATGACTAAGATTATGTTGTCGGTATATGGACTTGTTGTGTAATTGTGATGAAAGTCAGCAATAAGCTGATCTGTGTTGTTGTCTGAAATGTTGTTCATACAGAACTGAGATTCCAGATGCTGCGCTAAAAGTTCTGCCTTCTCAGCTCCAGTGTAGTGGATCCCTTGAGGCCCGTTAAGGGGCGGAATGAACTTGTATCATTTTTATACCTTTTCACAGCTTTCCATAATGAGCTATCCTCACAGGAAAGTGATCCCAGGTAGCTGGTCAGCGATCTTGTGCAAGTTTTGTTTGTAAGAGACTTGACTGCCTCACACGTTGGTTGTGTGATGAATTAAAAACTTTATGGCGCTCAGTATGCGATTCCGTTGTTGTGTGCACGTGTTA